TCATTTCATTTTAATATTTACGGGGTCGTTACAGTTTGTCTTTTAGAATGAATATTCTCATAATTTTATTGGATTTTTTAAATTATTATGTAAGGAATGTAAATCTTAAAATCTATTATTCGTTTTTGCATTTAAAATTATAAATTTATCTCTATTTAAGTAACGAGTTTTTACATAATCACTGTGAATAAATATTAACACTCTGTCATATCTAAATATATTTAGTAGATATTTAATTTATATTTTATTATTATTTTAAATATCATACATATTTTATATATTTTTTAATATAATAGAAATAATATTTGAATTTCTACTATGAATTTAATGTTTGTTGCATTATTTATTAGTATCTTAGCTATTATTCATTATTGATGCTTTCAGTAATGGAGATTATGTTGACTCGCACAAAAACACCTCATTAATTAAAATAATGATGAATAATAATTAATTATAAATAATAAAAACTAATACTTTTTAAAAAATTCAAATAAACGAAGTTATTTTGGAAAAGCCCATTTAAGTATTTATTAGTGCCAAGTATTGCAAATGGTCAAAACTGAAGTCAACGGAGCAATTCCATTTCATTGTATCAGAATTTTAAGGACAATGAAACGACATCGTTTCAGACATTCCAGATCAGAATTTGACCAAGAGCGTGCAATATAGCCGTTAGAGAGAAACACACATCACTTGGCCGTTAAGACTGTGCTCACTCCCAATAATTCAAAATTTCGACCGTTGGAGATCGCAACGTTATACACCCAGTAGCATTTTCTCTTCTCATTGACGCATGCACTCTCTGCATATTCCGACTCTAGATTATAAGATATCTTCGACTACTCTTCTCTTCGTATCTGCTCTCTCTTAAAGCAGTTTACAATTTACACCACGGCGCTGGATGAAAATGGCGGGGTTGACTGAGGAATCAAAAGAAGCCGTGACGATTATCGACGAATCTTATGAGTTCTCTGCGCCGCACTTCTTCGATTTCGTCAAGGGAGAATCTGAGGAAGATATGCACAAAGCGGAGCTCTGGTTCGAGACAGCCCTAAGTTACGCCCCTTCTCGTAAGTTGTCCACTCTTCTTTTGTCATTTTCTCTCGTCTTTCTCTTATTTTCTTCTGTTGTAGTTCTCAATCATCCGGCGTCTGAATCGAGGAATTTTAACTTAATTTCTACTCGATTTTAGATTCGGCTATTTGGATTTTTGCTTTTTAGCTCTCGATTTTATGAATCGTGATATTCATCTTACTTCTTGTGGAATCGGGATACTAGGTTCTCGGAAGTTGCTGAATTTTAGACATTTCCGTTCATTTCCTCCTCTTCTATCCGCATTTCCCCAGTGGCCAAACTTAGGGTTAGGGTTTAGGAACCAAATTGTTCTTTGATTCATAGTCTTGATTATTTTAGGCTAATTTGAGAGAGGATGGGTAAATTTGGCATGCAAAATTTAGGTGTTTAATAATTTAACAATGTGTCATAGAGGGTTTAGCGGTGAAATTAAAGGAAACTGAGGATGAAATCCTACCCTCACTTGTCTTTAGAGTAAAATTTCTTCCTAATTGTGAATGTGAATGTGAATGTTATGGTGGTTTTAGGGCTATCTCTAGGGCAGCCAAACTAGTCTGTGGTATGGGACTCCTAAGCAAGAGAACAAAAACGGTGAAATAAATTGTTGTTTTAGGATGGTTCTCTAGCATAATGCTGATAGAAAATGCTACATTAGGTAGTTATTCCTTTCCTTTCATGCATTTTTAATTTGACAGAGCTTTAAGATTTTCTTGTTTTCATTATTTCATGCAGCTTTTATGCCTAGAATCAAGACTGGTAGGTCCTTTAAGTTGGAGAGCGTGTGCAATTTCAGTGAAGCAGCAGACCAAATGCAGAAGGTAGTTTAGTGTGTACATCCGTTACCCTTGATTTTCAATTTCATGTTTTCCCCGAAAGATTCATTGCATTAATCAAGTGCATATTTAAAACATTATAGACTGCGGAATCATCAGATTCAACATCCTCTAACTGTTCCCCGGAAATTGAGCCCAAACCCGAGCTTGCAACTAGTGAAATCGAAGTGGAACTGATTCCCCATGAGGAAAAGGAAGAAGAAAGCAAGAACCTAGCGGATATGGTCAATGAATTCTGCAACCTTTTCATCTATTTTTTTTTTAATCAACCTTTTGCATCCTCTCAATGATTTAAATCCGTGTCAGATTCGTGCTGATAAAGACATATCTGAAAAGACTGAGGAGACTCCGTGTACTCGAGAAAATGAAAGGTTCGTTATTCTCTGGGTCAAAGCTTTGTCAAATGTTATGACTAAGGATAGGCATGGTCTCATTTCTTTCCCTTTTGATCTGTTGCATCTTGTCCGTTAATAGCATTTCGGTGAAGAAAGCTTCTCTGTCTGTGGAAACTGAATTTGATAATAAAGAAAACATCAACCCTGTTGGGAGTGTTGGGACCGAGGATTGCACTCCTAAACCACTAATGCCATCTAGAAGAGGAAAACAAGTGACTGATTCAAAGCAGCATCATACTACTACAAAGATCGCTAGCATGTTAAGGAACCCGTCAGCAAAGAAGCAAACTAACCCGTTACAGTTATCACACACCAGAGGCATCAAACCAGCTAACGTGAAAAGGTTTCTGATTATCTTTACTGTTCCCCATCCTGTGCTGGATATAGTGTACTTTACGTTGTTGATTGATGATCTAGTTTTGTTGTTTACAGGGATATAAGTGTGAAAAATACTACGGGAACACCCAGTGTAGCTCAAGAAAACCAAGCCATTAAGCGGCAGAAGCTAGAAGGAGGAAAATCTAGACAGGTAGCTTTTTATGTTCCTCCATTTGTTGGTCGTGTTTCTTTCTCAAGTATCTTCTTTTTTTTCTGTTTTTAATTTTATACTGAACTATGTCCTCCTTCTTTTTTGAACTTTCTCTACTTTCAGATCCTTAACGTGAAACCCCATAATTTTCCCCACAAGACAAAATCGGGTCTTATAAGTAGCAGTTCCAACTTGTGTCCTTCAACTGCTCATAAAACCGAGAAAGAGAACAGAAAGGTGTTTTTCTTTTTCTTGCCTTCTAATAGTTAACACGTTGAATTTTTTGGATTTAGCTGCTGACCGTTGGAATGTCTGTTTTGTCTTTTATATCTATAAGGTTTATGTTCGAGAAAATGCAGCACCAGTAGTACCATTTGTTTCGACAGCTGAAATGATTAAGAAATTTCAGTCAAGTACCAGAGATTTATCCCTGCCATTAACCAATACTTCTATTTCACATGTAAGTTCCTATTTCATCTACATTCTCTGTTTTCTGGTGAAATGATTTTGATCTAATTCAGAATGTTGCAAATTGTGTTTTCCCCAGAACAAGCCCAGACTAACATTGACAAGGCCCAAGGAACCGGAACTTGAGACATCTCAGCGAATCCGCTCAGTAAGAGTAAAGAGTAGTGCAGAGCTAGAGGAAGAGATGATGGCTAAGATCCCAAAATTCAAAGCTCGACCACTAAACAAGAAGGTTTGTGCTCTTTTCTTTAGTATTTTCTCTTATTCACTTTCCCGTTTACTTTCTACGAATATGTATTTTAATCGGTATTTATCTTTTTCCTGTTACAGATTCTGGAAGCTCCAACTTTACCTGCATTACAGAGAAGTGCACCCCAGCCTCCAGAATTTCAGGTACGTGAAAATTCTATTGTTTTCCATTACTTCACTGTTATTTTCCCTGTTAATAACGCATGTAGTGTATCAGAATAATTTCTATAGAACTCCCTGTAGAACTTGGATTTCTTAAATTTTTCAGGAATTTCATTTTGAGACGATGGCAAGAGCAAATCAGAATGCGGAAACATCTTCTGTAGCTTCAACAGAAGTCTCTCGGCAGGTACTTGGTCTTTCCATTTTAATTGCCTTGTTCATCTTTGGTATCTCAAATTTAACCACTAACAATATGTTTTTAACATTTTCGGGGGCAGAACAATCAATGGAGGCCTCATCTTACTGAACCTAAAACCCCTACGCTTCAAACATCATTGAGGGCTCGTCCACCCAAGGTCAAGAGCTCTTTAGAACTTGAGCACGAAGAACTTGAGAAAATCCCCAAATTTAAGGCAAGACCTTTGAATAAAAAGGTACACCTCTCCCATTGGAAGAGTGCATTTCAAAGATTTTCCCTTCATTTTTTCTGCTTAAATCGCTTACCTAATTCCTTTTTGGCCCTACTCGTATAATAGATATTTGAAAGTAAAGGAGAGCTAGGGGTCTTCTGTAATGAAAAGAAAGAAGTAACCAAGCCTCAAGAGTTCCATTTCGCAACAAATGAGAGAATTCCATTACCCGCTGCTGTTGTTGATTTGTTTGACAAGGTATCAAATAAGAAAAGCGTGATCAAGAATAAATTTACATAAGAAGTTGCTGCGACGGTTTCTCATAAATTTTTGTTTACTACTTTTCAGCTTTCTTTGAACTCAGAGCCCCATCATGACAATCCCCTACCACCCAGGAACACCAGGCCGAATCCATTCCATCTCCATACAGAAGTATATGTTCTTTATAATTTATTCATTTTGGCTGAAGAAGAGACATGCAGCCATGAAAATTTTCACTAACCCCATCGTCTTTGTGACAAAATCTCAGGAAAGAGGGGCTGAAAAGGAGAAGAAATTTGTGATGGAAGTAATACAGAAGAAGTGGGAGGAAGAAAGAGCCAGGATTCCTAAGGCAAACCCATATCCTTACACTACCGATTTTCCCTTGGTACGTAAAATGTTGGTTTCTTTTTCATTCAAGCTTTTCAAGTAAAAGCCAACCGGTATAGCTTAACACATATAATTCTGAAGCAGATTCCTCCAAGGCCAGAACCCAAGCAATACACAAAACCAGAACCTTTCCAATTGGAGAGCCTTGTGAGGCACGAGGAAGAAATGCAAAGGGAAATGGAAGAGAGGCTGAGGATTGAGAAAGAAGAAGCCAAGAGGAGAACATTCAAAGCACAACCAATCCTAAAAGAGTAAGTAGCACTTGATGGCGGGGGAAAATTGTGACTCTAACTATATATACAACTTGGATTAGTTTTTCATGCTTGTGATTGTAATCATCTCCTGCAGAGACCCAATCCCGGTTCCAGAGAAAGTGCGCAAACCCCTAACTACCGTTCAGGAATTCCATCTCCATGTAAATCATCGAGCTGTGGATAGAGCGGAGTTCGATCAAAGAGTATGTTAATCTCCTGAGCCTCATGGAAGTACCAAGACCCAAGGGTTAGAAATGAATGTTTTGTAAACTAAGGGTTGTATTGACAGGTGAAGGAGAAGGAGATGATGTATAAGAGATACAGAGAGGAGAGTGAGGCTGCAAGAATGGTATGTGTATTAGCAATTAACTATCGTTGTCTGAGCCTGAAATGATAAAATGAATTTGAACTAAAAATGGAACCGGGAATTGGCAGATAGAGGAAGAGAAGGCATTGAAACAGATGAGAAGAACAATGGTGCCCCATGCAAGGCCTGTACCCAGCTTCGATCATCCTTTTTGTCCCCAAAAGTAAGGAGTTATATTTGATAAATATTTGTTTATATTTATGAGAAAAGGCTTATTTATTTTAAAACGGATGTGCAGATCAACAAGAGAAATGACTAAACCAAAGTCACCAAATTTGCGAGTGCTCCGACGAAAAAAAGAAAGGCGAAGAATGGAGGCGACATGTCCCGTTGCTGCAATTTCAAGTCCCGCTACTAACATGAGGTGAGATGGGGCGCAGTGGGGACTGACTGTGACTGGGTTCAAGAACGCTTGAATTGAAACCCCTGTAAATGGACCAGATAAACTTGGATATTCTTTTATTCAACTATATGTGCTGTACTTTTTTCTTTTTTCTTAGTAATTCAATTTTTCAGTGGATATCAAATGTAAAGTTCTGAGAATATAAAAATGCAAAATTGAACAATTTCGTAATTTTTAGTAGGAATAGGTATAACGAGTTAAAATCTAACTTATTTACATTATTTTTTAGATGTAATTGAAAAAAACAAATTTTAGATGTCATCAAACTAAAAAGACTTGTGGATTTATTTATTATATTTTCCACTAAAAAGACTTGTGGATTGTGACATATATCCGCCCATAGAAAATATTTATGTAAATTATGGATTGACATAATAAATCACTATTTTCCACCAAACACATTACAAACATTTCAATGTAAAAAGGAAATAAGAAAAATCCATCTTTCAGGCAAATCAATCTAACAATATCCAGTTTGCGCAAATCTGTAAGAAAAACAAATTAATCTTGCATTTCCAGAAACTGCAGAGCAATCTGCAATTTCAGCATCCACCAATGTATACTACTATCAAATGGACATATTGCAGAGATCTCCAACCCAGCTAGTATATTTTTATGCACAAGCTCTTCATAAATAATGCCGCCACCCTTTCTCTCTAGTTAGTCTGCTTCTGACGGTATGCCAGAATCTGAAGGAGCAAAAAGATTAAATTTTTAGTGACCATCTTAACTAGCAATGCAAATGAAATCATTATCTACATGTTCAGCAGCAAACTAGGGCAGATTATTCTCTTTTGCGTCCCTTCATTTTCGTTGGTAAGCCGATTCAGTGAATCATCAAAAGGAAACAAGAAACTATAAGCCTAGCCAGAATCAGACCCATTAACATCGATACAACAGCATACTCACCAAATGATCCCTACTGGAAGTGCAGGGGACTTTAAGCCTAGCCATGATTTCTTGAGCTTCCAGAATTTGCACCTCCCCCACTGAGTTTGAAGGATCTGTATCGACTTGATTCTCATTGGAAATGGCATCATGCTGCCCTTTTACCATACATATTTCTATATCTTCAGCCTGCAAATCCATCTGGCATGCTACATACTATATACAATATACACCAGAAATTTAGACAAGTACCAGAAAACCGGGGAAAAATGGAAAATGATACCCCGGGTAGAGCGACAGGGGGGCAGATAAAGTACAATGTTAAGAATGAGCAGACTGTAGGCAATAGATAAGAGGAAACTTTGGCAAGCAGAAGTTTGGCACAATGCATCCGGTAACAAAATTTAAAAAAAAATCATTTCAGCTCTTAATTTGGACAGATTGATCCAAAGGCAAACAGCACAACTTTCTCTTCTAGGCAGACTAAAAATAGAAGATTCAGGGGGTAGAATTGGACACATTCAGGTACTTCAATGAACAGCTTGAAAACGAACTAGTTCTTTCCTGTTTTCAGAGATCTCACTACTGCTCTAAAAATCCAAGCTTTTGTGGACTTGGCCAAGATTTTACGCATCCAGTCACTCATCATGAAAAGCATGTTTAAGGTAAAGAATCTTACTTCACATAGCTGCTTGACTGACAAACTGGGTCGACAACAAAGGTATGGCTGCTCCAAATTTGGTGTATTTTGTTTGTCCAGCGAAACGAGCTTGAGATGAACATCTAACTGTAAACCAAGAGTTGAGCTTATATTGCAAAGAGAAGTTGAGCACAAAATCACACAAGCACACAAATATATAATCCTCAGACCAAAAAAAGAGACATTTAGATGAATCTCGTTGCAGCAGTACTGACTGAAAGCTGAAAAAATAATACCAAAATGTTACCATTTTCAAGAATTATTTAGCTACACCAGTTCCAGGTTTTGCTTAATGATACCACCCGTAATGGACCTCATTGTTGCTTAAAACATTATTCTACCATACCTCATCATTGTTTTCTTCTAAGCTTCGGAGATATTCTACCAGCTTATTTAAGCGAGTGCTTCGTGAATTCTTATTATTACAACCACTTGAATTGCCATGTCGTGTGTGACTTCTAGCCCCACCTCTTCCCCAAGCAAGTGTTTCTGGCTTCCAATTCAGTCCAGGAGGAATTCCTTTGCTTGCATGGCAGACTTCTGATTCATTGTCAACACAGTTAACATCATTTGCTGCTGATGAAGAAGGCTGACATGAGCGACTTCCCACACGTCTCTTGCCTCTTCTCTGCCGGGCTTCTGTACCGCGTTCATCAGTAGAAGATGAATCTTTGCCCACATTATCATAATTTTCATCTTCATGGTCCTCAGATGCTTGGCGTTCAGGTCCATGGCAGTTGCGTCTCCTCCATGAAGGACCAGGACCAAGATTACGCTGTGATCTTGACATATATGTGGATGTAGGTACGGTATCTTTTCCCGCTGCACGTTTCTTAGCAAATACTCTTGCTTGTCTTAGAACTATTTGTGCAATAGATGCTTGAATCTGTCCAATAAAGAGTGAGACAATACATCAACTATAAAAGAACGAAGTGTTTTACACGCACCATGCGACCTATTCTAAAACAGTGAGGCCTTGACACTAAGTTGTCAACTCCTTTCAACCAAAAGCTTAAAACTGTTTTTTTTTGCATAATATGTGAAAAAGGCGAGAGGGGTGTTCATGAAGCAGAGGCCAAGTGAAAAAAATTTTAGGTCAAAACCAGGTGATTTATCGCTTGTGTGTCAATGAAAGGGTGGAGGAACCTATTGCTTTCAGAATCAAAAGTTCAAACAGAAAATCAGCAGAAGTAACAGTAAATTCCTAAACCGCAATAACAAGTAAATAACCACGAAGGTGGCCAGTCTGAATGGATGTCATCATATATTTATAATTTTACTGAACTTAGTAACACTAAACTAAGCAGGATGGAATTAAGCACACAGATGCGAACTTCTGTAAATTTGACAATATGCCCCATAAATCTGACCTGCTGATTGCGAGTCCGATCCTCGTCATGAAAAGCCAGCTCCTAAGATCAAATAAAAGGGAAAACAATTCCTGATTTGGAAAAGGACTTCAAAACTAATTAAAAGAATGCAGATTTAGCAAATAACTTTTTACCTCCTCCTCATACTTAGCAATATCAGGATATAAAGCTGCAATAAGAGCATCAAAGTTTGGATCATCTCTCAAAGAACGCCGGCTTGCACAATGTTTGCGACAAGCAGGACATTCATTGTTCCTGCAATTATCAACTAAGTTCAGAGAGAGAGATGATTGGCCATCTCAGGCTAACAGCTGCATGAGCACGTCCAGCATTAAGAAGGTAGCCAATTCACGAAAGAACCTTGAAACTGAATCAGACATAGTAAACCCTGCTTTTTTGAACCCAAATACAGGATTTTGGATAATAGCCTTTATAGTACTACCAAACAGAAGCATGTTGAGGAAAGTATCCAAATTAAAATAACAGTATCTATGCATACCCTAGTCGTATCGATTTGTCAATACAGTCCCTGCAAAAGCGATGCAAGCAGTCCATAACAGTTCTTGTTTTCTTAATGATTCCTGAAAAGGACAAAGGGTTGATTTATAACTTTCTTAGTAGATTGATAACCAGCTTTTATAACATGTGAATCTAGCAGAGAATCAGGATATACTAAGCACAACCAGCCAAAACCTGCTAAAAATAACTAGCACTGTTGAAATTGTTATGAGTAATTTACCTCTGGATTAGAAACCCACAGAACAAAAATGATTAAAATTAAGCCCATTACACCTAAATATACTTGCATCTGGAAATTTCTCGCATATGTAAAGTAAAATCTGCAGATTCATAGGTTTCTCTGCAATTTACATGTTTGCTATATTAATGCATCCAATAAATTATTGTCTCAGAAAAAAAGACGTGTTGCCTTTTAGAAGTTTGAGCCAATTGAAATATAAATAAACTTCTGCTGGAGTTCCAGAAATCTAAACAACTGATCAATGTATAAATGATGGATAGCAAGGTGGCCAGACCCTTTCCACCCTTTCAGCCACCTCTATTGTGTCTCACCATCCTGAAAGCATAAAACCCGTCTAATGTTGCAACCAACAAGACTTTCAACAGTAGAACAAATTTCTAGAAAGATGACAAGAAAACTCGAAAATTCACTTTAAGTTTAACTAATTTTCACTCCAAGAATGAAATAATATAAAGCATAGCAAAACTTCTCCAATATTTTCATGAGAAAAAGATTGTTTGGAAGAATTGAAATAAACTCTTCAGAAATTAGTACTCTTTCAAGGATAGATATATAGAATTTGGACAATTATGTTGATGCTTTACATTTGGAACTTTGACAAACAGAGCAGAGTGCTGAAGCATGAGATTAAGAATGAGTGAATGAGAACCAGTGAGTTGGCTACCATTGGACCTAGCTTCCTAGGTGGACAATTTGTATTATCAGAATGCTCCCTTCTTTAGATGAATATGCCAATTTGCAATATTCCTTATCCAAGCAAAAATAGGTATATAACTCATCTATAGGAGGTATCGAGATCTTTTTTGAGTCCCAAGAGAAATATAAGACAAAGCCTATGTACAAATGAACGAAGGAAGAAGTACAAGTCCAGACACCATAGTACATCTCTTGGGTCATTAAGATAATGTCACTAATTCAAAATCTTAACAGTTACAGTTCAATCACACTGATGTCTTTCCTCGTTTCTATTATGTGCATGCAAAAGTCAAAAGGTATAAATGAAACAAGCTCCATCTTAAACATAAATAAAGCAACAGCCAAGCATCAATAACGACAAAATTTGCCATTTGTGAAATAAATCCAATTTCTTTTTTTCCCAGTTGCTTCAGAATGTGTTCCTAGAAAAAAAATATATTTTATAATACAATAAAGTTCTATTTCTAACAGGTGTATATTCAGATGAAATGGTGAATTCATCACCATGACTCACTTCCGTTACATATATTCAACTTCCTTGCAGCTTACTGCAGCCAAGGTCATACATTTTGTTAAATTCCCGATGTTCATAAAAAAACCTTTGCCTTTTGAGGATGCTACCAGCAGCAGAATGGGAACAAAAGACAAACAAACTGGGATTTCCTTTTGCATGCTAATTCTATAAACAAAATACAAATTTATCAAGATGATAGTGAATAAAACTTAATAAATTGTACATGTAGGTTAATTAAAGAAATTAACTCTGATAAGACAAAAAAACTAGCTAGAGAATTACATCCTTACAAATGTTAGGTAATTTGGGAATCACATATTTGTTAAATGCCCAATTGTTATCAAAAGACTTTTTGCTTGAAAAGCACCAGATAGAAAGGGGGGAAAAAGAGACAGAAGTTGACATTTTACCTTGCATGTTAATTCTATAAACAAAATACAATTCATCCAGATAATATTACTAGCTAACTTAATATATCGTCACCTATTGTTTTTTAAAAAAGAACTTAATATATGGTATATGCAGGTTAAAGAAACTAAACTGTGATCAGACAAAAGGATCAGATCAAACAAGATTCAGATGAAAAAGTACCAAGACAAATTGGGCACTGTACTTCCTTACGAATTTCAGGTAGTTCTACGAGCACATATCTGCAAGAGAAACCACAAATGTAAAAGGAACTTTATAGAGATTAAAAATAGAAGAGCAATGCACCAGCGGGCATAAAAATATTGCTTGGTGAAAATAATACAAAAGTCCTATGAGGATAGGTTTCTAGAAAATGCAGGATAAAAATCAACAAGATGCTGACTGTACTCATAATTTTTTTTTCTGCTATCTTCCTTGACCAAGTTCAGCTAAACTGTAAAGAAGATACTAATTGTAATTGTAATATTTTATTTCTACTAAAACTTTTAATTGATATTAACTTAACAAGAAATCAATATAATATAGGCTACGGTATAAGCTTCAAATTTTTGCACCTAATACATTTTGAGTACAGGAAGTCTTGAGATAATGAATGGACAACTGAAAGCTTGCACACCTAGACTTGCATTTGTTTTCCACAAGACATAATTACTTTAAGAGGAAGGTTTTCTACTGAAAAAATGCAAAAAAAAAGTGAAGTGTCCCCAGAAATATCTCCATGCTGCTTTAAACAGAAACATTCGAAAGAGTAAATATCACATGTTACAATTTATACGAGAAAAAATTCCCAGTAAGAAAGCCAGTTTAAATAAGTCCTTACGTTTTTATTCTAAATTCACGTAGAAATAAAAATCGTTTCTTTAGAGAAAAAGTAATAATCATTTCCTAATAAAGAATATATATTAATTTTGGATTTAGAAACCAGAGAGCAAATGGCCCTAAAAAGAATGCTGTATAGAATCAGAACCAGCAAGACTCATAGCAAATAGAAATAAGGCCATAAGCAGAATGAGATATCAGCAGATCAAACTGGTGCTTCATAGAAACTTAACAAGAACAGAGAAGGTAAAATTGGGTCTAGACTGCAGAGCAGTAACTCATTGTATATGACAGCCAAACCACCTCTACCAAAAGTTCAAGCATTTTGCAAAGGCGAAAAAGACACTATTCCTAAGTATAAAAGAATAACGCGCAGTCAATTTTTTTCTTTATTTCAGAATGGAGATTTTCACCAGCAAAGATACAAAAGAGAAGGGCTTTTTTAAAAAAAAAAAAACAAGAATCTTTTTAATCATTCAAATTATATGTGATTTTCTTGATGTTTGTGAAGCAACTAGATACAATATTTGCTAAAACCCACAAGTGGGATAATAACAACAGAAAGAAAACCCAATCACTAATGAACCATTTGGTATAACCATTAGCAAGACCATATCTTTATCATGTCTTGGACTGTATTGCAGGTTTCTTTCTTTATTTGTCTATCAACTCCATTATTTCAGGATGTTTAGAAGGTAATGGTTGATGGAAGCTGTCATATATTGGCTAGTTGAGACAAAGAAAGGAGAAGGCAGTACAGCCAAGTTCATTCTGTAAACTAGCAGAGAAAATTCATATCAGATTCGACACAAAATTTAACCCGATCAAGAGAAAGGCCATATGAGACAGGCAATATCCAATCTCCACCTACATTTCATATGCTATTATCCACTCAGTCAATGAACTGTTAAAGGATCAATAAACATTACTGACTCTTGATGAGACCTCATTTGTCAGAGAGGAGAACCCATCATACATAAACTTCCAAAGCAAAGCGCTTCATTCAAATTAGTTAAGTAAAATTTGATGTGTAGCTGAAATATTGAAACCAACACAGTCATAAAGATTCATAATGTTTTTCCCCAGTCACTTGACTCAAAAGAACTCTCAGAACTAACATGCATCCTAACATCCACGAGCTAGTAACTAAAGATTCAATGCCATGTTTTCAAATCACAGAAGCAGAGGAACTTCCTGAAAATAAAAGAAATATAATCAATAATCAAGCTATTGATTATTTTGTGGCATTTGCTACAAAAATAACAAAAAGAGCCTTTAGAGGGTTAAATCTCTCTGCTATAGGTTTAAAAAAAATTGGTCTTAGACCAAGTCTTTTGTTTAGTGGAGACCTCATAGATCTTTTATCATAACCTAATTTGTATATATACTTCTCTACAAGAGTCACAGTCTCCTGATGTCTTTCAGACGTCCCCATACAATTTTTTATTATGTGAAGAAAAGAAAAACCATCAAGCTGGAAAATTCTTGCTCATTTTTCAGAGAAAAAAGGAACATCATAAACAAGGCACCAAGGAGGAGCCATCCCTGTACAAAAGGCATTTTACGCATAAGAGGAAGTCAAAATGTTAAGAAGCCTCCCTAGATCTCCGCCATCTAGTTCCTTGGCCATATTATGTTCACAAACAAACAAGTGGACTAAATGGCAGCTGTTCTGCTTATGCTAAAATGACACAGAAAATTTTGCAGCATTCTTCGTATTAAATCAGTAACTAATGGAAAACCACGTTAGCATGAACAATCATATACAAGGTTGAATTTTGGTTAAGTAAAAACAAGAGAGATGCGAACTCGGAGCATGAACAATACATGGATCGCAACATGCAAAGGTAATTCACGCATTATATCAAACCAGCCACAAGGAATATTAAGTCGAAGTAAAGGCAACACCAAATTTCTTATACTTAAAAAATAAGAACACAACACCAATCTCCCACCTCCCACCCCCACCCCCACCCACGCTACAGCTACAGCTACAGCCACGAAAACTTATCAACAGCTAAATCAAAAAAAAATGCTCGTAAAAAATGGAGAAGATGCTCGTGAATATGAAAAATACAGCGAACGCATTGAAAAAAAGAGCAAAACAAACACAAATCAGTGGTAGTACAGTGAGAAATGCAAAAAATAGAACGACCCACAAGAATGAGAGGAAGAGAGAAAGAGAGAGTACTCGGGTTTCTCGTCGGAGTTGGAAGATGGGCTTCCCTCAGAATCTGCGTAGATAAAAGAGAGAAAAAGCAATTGCTTCAATCGATCGTGAACCGAACATCGAAATCAACCTTACACACGTCCAAAAACACACATATGGACGTATATCCATACACACATGTACAGGAAAAAAAGAAAAAGAAAAGAGAAAAAGTTCGCAACCTCCTCCTTCTTCCTCTTTATCTTCTTCATCCTGTTCTACCTGCTCCATGTCTTCATCCTGGTCCGGCTGTTGATCTTCTTCTCGATGTAGGTCATCTTCTTCGTCTCTAGATTGCCTGGCATGGCTCTTGCAGTGATGTTTGGTGGGGTCCTCCCTGTTTGGATTCTCCGGCGGTGAACGCTTCTGTGCAGGCATTGCTACCTTCCCTCGCTGATTTTGAGGCTGATGTTAGAGAGATGAACACTCAGCCTCCGCAGAGAGAAACGAGTAGTAGTGTATGATTTCTCTGCGGTCTTCTTTTTGTGTCTCCTTTTTTTTTTTTTTTTTTTTTTATTCAATTTGTTAAAAGGCAAAAGAGAAAGAGAAGACAAGAGAAAGAATATATAGGCAAATTTTCTTACTCTAGTTTTTCATCTCTTCTCCTTTTCTGAAGCAAATTTACAGCAGTAACTCTTCACCATCACTAAAGTAAAATCTAAAGTCAGTTAATAGTAATTTTATATACAAACTAGGATTAAATTTTTATACAAAACCCAAATTCTCAAATAAAAATGTAAAGAAATTGATTGTCAAAACATATGAATGAATTTAAATTTAATAGTAATTTAATACATAAATTAGGGTTAAATTTTATAAATAGTCGCGGCGGTCAAAAATATAAAATAATGATTGTCAAAATGGATTCAGATTTAATGATAATTTTATATGCAAATTATGATTAAATAGGTATACTGACCGCTATTTACGGTAAGATAATAATATAATAATATAAAATTTAATTCGTTCAGATTCTTTTTTATGTATGAAAAAAAACGTGAAGAGATGCAATGTATTTCAATTTAATAGTAATTTATGTATAAATTAGGCTTTAAATTTAATTTTTTCAAATATAGATTAAACATAATATTTTAACAAAAGATTAGAACTCAGAAGTTTTAAATTAATTAATTTTTAATAAAACGGTGACTCTATTGTTGTCGTGGAAAAATATTATGGTCTTTTTTATATTTATTTTTAAAAAATTTTAGAATATATTAAAATAATTAATTGTAAATAAATCATGAGGTTGGAGTAAAAATATATAGATTGTGTAATCTTGATTTAGAAGTAAGTCATCAGAAGTGTGATGTATATATTATATGTATATGTATATTATTAATTCATAATGAAGATTAATAAGGTGAGATGAGAATGGAGATTATTAATATTTTTTTTATTAATTATTATTATTATTATTCTTTTTTTTTTTTTTAGAAAGTATCCCATGCTCATGCAAAACCTATAAATATATAATAATATTATGTAAGTACACGAATAGTGAAAAAAATAAATTAGGTTTAATGTTTTTTAAAATAATCTCCAAGTAAATTTCCTGTAATTTATCATAATGAAATTGTATTTTAGTTATGAAACATAGGGCTAGTAGATTCGAAGAAGTATTATATTATTATTATTATTATTTTTTTTTTTTTTGAGAACCTAATGTAATGGGATTAGTACCGGTTTTAGAAATTAATCAAAAACACACCTTAATAATTAATGAGTGCATAAAAAGTGATTTATTATTAGGGATAAAGTTTTGGCATCCCTAGATTTGTTAATTATGTAATAATTAGTATTTTGAGTTTGTAATTTTTTAAGTAAAATAAATTAATATATTTTATTAATTAAGTGATATATGTATATATATATATATAAATATAAATTATTTATCAGTTATGAAACTAAACTGATTAAATGTGGTATCCAAAATTGATTAACATCTCGATTAACAAATAACACACAATAATAAAATGACGTACCAATGATTTATGCAATGAATAGTACATCACTTTCTAAATTTGAAATAGTACATATTGTAAATTTTAGTTACATTTTAAATTTATCATTATCTTATGTTTTATATATGAAGCTATATGCATGTAATTTCTAAATAAATAATATGCGCATGTTTTGAATAAATCATGCATATTTAACTATTTAAATAGTCTACAAAGTAATTAAATAAATCAACCTTATAATTTAAAGTATAAAATCTAAGACATCATATCAAAATAACTAAAAATAATAAATGATTTTCACATAATTTAGATTTATCTGACTCTAAATTGTGAAAACCCAAACTCCCATAAGCATGAATGGACATCACCATGCATTTATAATTTTACTGAACTTAGTACCACCAAACTAAGCAGGATGGAATTAAGCACACAGAGGCAAACATCTGTAAGTTTCCACAGCTAGCTCCATAAATCTCACCACCTGCTGATTGCCATTCGGATCCTCATCGTCAAAAGCCAGCTCCTATTAAAAGGGAAAACAATTATTGGATTTGGAAAACAACTTCAAAACCAATCAAAAGAATGCAGATTTAGCAAACAACTGTTTACCTCCTCCCCACACCTAGCAATATTTGGATATAAAGCTTCAATTAGAGCATCATACTTTGGATCATCTCTCAAAGAAAGCCCGCTTGCACAATGCTTGTGGCAAGCAGGACATTCATTGTTCCTGCAATTATCAACCAAGTTTAGAGATGATTTGCCATCTCAGGCTAACAGCTGCATCAGCACATGTCCAGCGTTGAGAAACTAGCCAATTCATGAAAGAACCTTAAAACATAGTAAACCCTGCTTTTTTGAACCCAAATACAAGATTTTGGATAACAACCTTCATAATACTACCAGACAGAAGCATGTTGAGGAAAATTTTCAGATTAAAAGAACAGTATCTTATGCATACCCTAGTCGTATTGATTTTTCAATACATGCCCTGCAAAAGCGATGCAAGCAGTCGATAGCAGTTCTTGTTTTCTTTATGATTCCTGAAAATGACAAAGGGATGAATTATAACTTTCCGAATAGATTGATAACCAACTTTTATAATATGTGAATCTAGCAGAGATTCAGGATATACTAAGCACAGTCAGCCAAAACCTTCAAAAAATAACTAGCATTGTTGAAATTGTTGAATATTAACCTCTGAGTTAGAAACCCACAGAACAAAAATGATTTAAATTAAGCTAATTACGCCCTAAATATACTTACATCTGGAAATTTTTCGCATATGTAAATTAAAATCTGCACATTCATATGTTTCTCTGCAATTTATATGTAATTCTATAAACAAAATACAAATTCTATAAACAAAGACAAACAAACTGGGATTTCCTTTTGCATGCTAATTCTATAAGCAAAATACAAATTTATCCGCATGATAGTGAATAAAACTTAATAAATGGTACACTTAGGTTAATTCAAGAAATTAACTAATGTCAGACAAAAAAAAACTAGCTAGAGAAGCACATCCTTACAAATGTTAGGTAATTTGAGAATCACATATTTGTTAAATGCCCAATTGTTATCAAAAGACTTTTTGCTTGAAAAGCACCAGATAGAGAAGGGGAAAAAGAGACAGAAGCTGAGATTTTACCTTGCCTGTTAATTCTATAAACAAAATACAAGTCGTTCAGATAATATTACTAGCTAACTTAACATATCGTCACTTTTTATTGTTTTTTAAAAAGAACTTAATATATGGTATATGCGGGTTAAAGAAACTAAACGATGATTAGACAAAAGGATCAGATCAAACAAGATTCAGAAGAAAAAGTACCAAGACAAATTGGGCACTGTATTTCCTTACGAATTTCAGATAGTTCTACGAGCACATATCTGCAAGAGAAACCACAAATGTAAAATGAACCTTATAGATTTTAAAAATAGAAGAGCAACACACCAGTGGGCATAAAAAAATTGCTTGGTGAAAATAATACAAAAGTCCTATGAGGATAGGTTTCTGGAAAATGCAGGATAAAAATTAACAAGATACTGATTGCACTCATAATTCTTTTTTCTACTATCTTCCTTGACCAAGTTCAGCTAAACTGTGAAGAAGATACTAATTATAATTCTAGTATTTTATTTCTACTAAAACTTTTAATAGATATTAACTTAACAAGAAATCAATATAATAGGCTCCGGTATGCGCTTCAAATTTTTGCTCCTAATACATTTTGAGTACAGGAAGTCTTGAGACGATAAATGGACGACGACTGAAAGCTTGCACACCTAGACTTGCATCTGTTTTCCACTAGACATGATTCTTCTATGAGGAGGGTTTTTTAGTGAAAAAATAAAAAAAAAAGTGAAGTGTCCCCAGAAATATCTCTATGTTGTTTTAAACAGAAACATTCAAAAGAGTAAATATCACGTATTACAGTTCATACGAGTTATAACTGCTAGTGAGAAAGCTAGTTTAAACAATTCCTTACAATTTGGTTCTAAATTCACGTAGAAATAAAAATCATTTCTTTAGAGAATAAGTAATAATCATTTACTAATAAAGAATATATATCAATTCTGGATTCAGAAGCCAGAGAGCATATGGTCCTAAAAGAATGCTGTATAGGATCAGAACCAGCAAGGCCCATAGCCAACTGAAATAAGGCAATTAGCACAATGAGATATCAGCAGATCAAATTGATGCTTTATAAAAACTTACAAGAACAGAGAAAGTAGAGACAGTTTTGAAATTGGATGTAGTCTGCAGAGCTGTAACTCATTGCATATGACAGCCAAACAACCACTACCAAAAATTCAAGCATTTTCCAAAGGCCAAAAAGACACTATTCCTAGGTACAAAAAAGAATAATACCCAGTAATTTTTTTTCTTTATTTTAGAATGGAGATTTTCACCAGAAAGGATAAGAAAGAGAAGATTTTTTTTTTTCTTTTAAAAAAGAATCTTTTCAATCATGCAAATCATACGTGATTTTCTCGCTTTTCAAGATGCAACTAGATACAGTATTTGCTAAAGCCCATAAGTGAGATAATAACAAGAGAAAGAAAACCTAATCACTAATGAACCATTTGGTGTAACCATTAGCAAGACCATATTATTATAATATCTTGGACCATATTGCAGGTTTCTTTCTTTATTATTCTATCAACTCGATTATTTCAGGATGTCCAGAAGGTAATGAATGATTGATGGAAGCTGTCATATATTGGCTAGTTGAGACAGAGAAAGGAAAAGGCAGTACAACCAAGTTTATTCTGTAAACTAGCAGAGAAAATTCGTATCAGATTCGACACAAAATTTAACCAAATCATGAAAAAGGCAGTCTGTGACAGGCAATACGCAATCTCCACATATATTTCATATGCTACTATCCACTCAGTCAATGAACTGTTAAAGGATCAATAAACATTACTGATTCTAGATGAGACCTCCTTTGTCAGAGAGGAGAACCCATCATACATAAACTTCCAAAGCAAAGTGCTGCATTCAGATTAGTTAAGTAAAATTTGAAGTGGAGCTGAAGTATTGAAACCAATACAGTCATATAGATTCATAATATTTTTCCTCAGTTAGGTGACTCAAAAGAACTTTTTGAACTAACATGCATCCTAACATGCGCGAGCTAACAGTTAAAGATTCAATGCCATGTTGTCAAATCGCAGAAGCAGAGGAACTTCCTCAAAATAAAGGAAATAAAACCAATAATCAAGCTATTGATTATTGGTTTTATTTCCTTTATTTTGTACAAAATAACAAAAAGAGCCTTTAGAGGATTAAATCTCCCTGCTACAGGATTAAAGAAAATTGTTCCAAGAGTCACAGTCTCTTGATGCCTTTCAGACGTCCCCATACAATTTTTTATAGTTTGAAGGAAAAAAAAAACAATCAAGCTGGAAAATTTTTGCTCATTTTTCAGATAAAAAAAAGAATATCATAAACAAGGCACCAAGGGGAAGCCATCCCTGTACAAAGGTAATTTACGCATGAGAGGAAGTCAAAAATATTAAGAAGCCTTTCTAGATCTTCGCCATCTAGTTCCTTGGCCAGATTATGTCCACAAACAAATCTGTAACTAAAGGAAAACCACGTTAACATGAACAATCATATGCAAAGTTGAATTTCGGTTGAGTGAAAACAAGAGAGATGCGAACTCGGAGCATGAACAATACATGGATCGCGACATGCAAAGGTAATTCACGCATTATATCAAACCAGCCACAGGGAATATTAAGTCCAAGTAAAGGCAACACCAAATTTCTTATGCTTAAAAATAAAGAGAGATGCGAACTCGGAGCATGAAAAATACATGGATCGCGACATGCAAAGGTAATTCACGCATTTTATCAAACCAGCCACAAGGAATATTAAGTCCAAGTAAAGACAACACCAAATTTCTTATGCTTAAAAATAAGAACACAACACCAATCCCTCAACCCCACCCCACGCTACAGCTACAGCCATGAAAACTTATCAACAGTTAAATCAAAAGAATGCTCGTAAAAAATGGAAAAGATGCTCGTCAATATGAAAAATACAGCGAACCAATTGAAAAAAAAAAGAGCAAAACAAACACAAATCGGTGGTAGTACAGCGAGAAATTTAAAAAATAGCACGATCCACGAGAATGAGACGAAGAGAGATAGAGAGAGTACTCGGATTCCTCCGGCGGTGAACGCGTCTGTGCAGACATTTCTACCTCCCTTCGCTGATTTTGAGGCTGATGTTAGAGAGAAGCGGGTAGTTAAAAAAAGGTGATGTATTGGAAGATTGTGTATCTTTATAATAGGGGGTGGGGGGTTTAATAGTAATTTTATATACAAATTAGTGTTAAACTTTTATAAAAAATGTCAAATTCTTAAATAAAGATAAAATTAAATAATTATTAAAATGTGGAAATTAATTTAATTTTAATAATAATTTTATATGCAAATTAAGATTAAATATTCATTATAAACGTTATTCATAGTTAGATAGTAATATAATAATATATAATTTAATTCGTTCAGATTTTTTAACTAAATTAAGAAAACGTATGAAAAAATTTGAAAAAATACAATATATTTACTTTTTTGTTTGAAATCGTAGCGGTCAAATTCTTAAATAAAGATGTAAATAAATAACTGTCAAAATGCGTGAATTAAATTGATTCATTATTAATTTTATATATAATTTATAGTTAAATATTTATATTTACCTCTATCCATGATTAAATAGTAATATAATAATATAAAATTTAATTCGTTCAGATTTTTTTATCATATTAAAAAAAGTGTGAGAAAAATATGAAGAAGTACACTGTATTTAATTATTGTAGGAAATTACGACGGTCAAATTTTTATATAAAAATATAAATAAATGATTATTAAAACGCGTGAACTTATTTTAATTTACTAATAATTTTATATGTAATTTATAATTAAATATTTATATTGACAGTTTATATATAGTTAATAATAATATAATACTATAAAATTTAATTTATAATTTAATTCGTTCAGAATTTTTTTATCAGATTAAGAAGATGTGTAAGAAAAATATGAAGAGGTACACGGTATTTAAATTTAATGATAACTTATCTACAAGTTAGGATCTAAATGTTTATTATTTTAATAATTTTCAAATATGGATTAAACATTGATCAAAGGTTATAACTTTGAAGTTTTGAATTTATCAATTTTAATAAAATAAAATGGTGACTTTAGAAAAATATTATGGTTTGTTTTATGATTTGTTTTTAATAAATTTAGAAATTATAAAAAAATAATAATTAATTGTAAATAATATATAAAACATGACGTAGTGTGAAAATATATATAGATCATGTAATCTTGATTTAGAAGTAAGGCATCAGAAGCGCGATGTACATATGTATATGTATATGTATATGTATATGTGTATGTATATTATTAATTCATAGTGAAGATTAATATGGTGAGATGAGAATGGAGATGTCACGGCAATTATATAAACTACTCCACCTTCACGTGTTTTTTGAGAAGATATCCCATGCTCTTGCAAAACCTATAAATATATAATATTATATACGTAAATCTTCAAGTAAATTTCGTGTAATTTATCACAATGAAATGCCATGTTATTTATGAAACTCTGTGTTAGTAGATTCGAGCAAGTACTTACAATATTTTATTTCTTTTTTGAGCACGTAAATATAATGGGATAAGTTCTGGTTATAGAAATTAATTAAAAACACACATTAAACAATTAATGAGTCCATAAAAAGTGATTTATTATTAGGGATCCCCCAATTTGTTAATTATGTAATAATTATTAGGGACTAGTCCACTCGTGTATTTTAGTATAGATCAAAATATTAACATTTTCATTAAAAAATGACACGTAAATATACCAATGCAAACTCTTGTAGAAATATAAATAAAATGAAATAGCAATCATTCATCCAAATCAAGTTCATATAGGTTCTTCCATCACTAACTGAACCAGAAACCTATTGCCTTCAGAATCAAAAGTTCAAACAGAAAATCAACAGAACCAACAGCAAATTCCTAAACCGCAATAACAAGTAAATAACCACGGAGGTGGTCAGCATATCACCATCTGTTTATTATTTTACTGAACTAAGCAGGATGGAATTAAGCACACAGAGGCAAACATCTGTAAGTTTCCACAGCTAGCTCCATAAATCTCACCACCTGCTGATTGCCATTCGGATCCTCATCGTCAAAAGCCAGCTCCTATTAAAAGGGAAAACAATTATTGGATTTGGAAAACAACTTCAAAACCAATCAAAAGAATGCAGATTTAGCAAACAACTGTTTACCTCCTCCCCACACCTAGCAATATTTGGATATAAAGCTTCAATTAGAGCATCATACTTTGGATCATCTCTCAAAGAAAGCCCGCTTGCACAATGCTTGTGGCAAGCAGGACATTCATTGTTCCTGCAATTATCAACCAAGTTTAGAGATGATTTGCCATCTCAGGCTAACAGCTGCATCAGCACATGTCCAGCGTTGAGAAACTAGCCAATTCATGAAAGAACCTTAAAACATAGTAAACCCTGCTTTTTTGAACCCAAATACAAGATTTTGGATAACAACCTTCATAATACTACCAGACAGAAGCATGTTGAGGAAAATTTTCAGATTAAAAGAACAGTATCTTATGCATACCCTAGTCGTATTGATTTTTCAATACATGCCCTGCAAAAGCGATGCAAGCAGTCGATAGCAGTTCTTGTTTTCTTTATGATTCCTGAAAATGACAAAGGGATGAATTATAACTTTCCGAATAGATTGATAACCAACTTTTATAATATGTGAATCTAGCAGAGATTCAGGATATACTAAGCACAGTCAGCCAAAACCTTCAAAAATAACTAGCATTGTTGAAATTGTTGAATATTAACCTCTGAGTTAGAAACCCACAGAACAAAAATGATTTAAATTAAGCTAATTACGCCCTAAATATACTTACATCTGGAAATTTTTCGCATATGTAAATTAAAATCTGCACATTCATATGTTTCTCTGCAATTTATATGTAATTCTATAAACAAAATACAAATTCTATAAACAAAGACAAACAAACTGGGATTTCCTTTTGCATGCAAATTCTATAACCAAAATACAAATTTATCCAGATGATAGTGAATAAAATACATTTAGGTTAATTCAAGAAATTAACTCTTATCAGACAAAAAAACTAGCTAGAGAAGTACATCCTTACAAATGTTCGGTAATTTGAGAATCACATATTTGTTAAATGCCCAATTGTTATCAAAAGACTTTTTGCTTGAAAAGTACCAGATAGAGAAGGGGAAAAAGAGACAAAAGTTAGACATTTTACCTTGCCTGTTAACTCTATAAACAAAATACAATTCATTCTGATAATATTACTAGCTAACTTAATATATCGTCACTTTTTATTTTTTTAAAAAAAGAACTTAATATACGCAGGTTAAAGAAACTAAACTATGATTAGACAAAAGGATCAGATCAAACAAGATTCAGAAGAAAAAGTACCAAGACAAATTGGGCACTGTATTTCCTTACGAA